AAACGCTTTGAATCTTCTGCTCAGGCAGTGATAAAAAAATCGACAACGCATGCAGCCATTTTTGGTCAATGCACCGTGTACAGTATGGTTATGGGAAGGCTGTTGATCAGTAAGTGCGTTCTTTCAGACAGTCCTGTCCAACTTGGTTCTGCTGCAGCCAGTCCATTTACGGTTGACGATTTATGCTTAAGGCGACCACTTTATTGATTTATCTTGTTGGACAAGAACAAAGGCTCACTTTATGCAAATTAAGCAAAGTGGATCCGAGCGCTTTCAGCGCAATCATTTTGGTGGACTGCTTTCAATCAATAAAAAAGACCAATGCCTCCGAATACCTCCTAAATAGATCATCATTTTCAAATGGACCTTGAACCAGAGGGAAGGGCGGGATAGTCATGTCATGCAAAGCGGCGTTGTGCCCATGTTGCCCAGAGCCTCCACTCTCTCTCCCTTTCTTGAGATGGTTGAAACGGATCCTCACATGATCGAGCCGCCTAGTCAACTAAACAATGCAACCTGTGATGACATGCAGCCTCCCGATTTTCCGCATTCTTTACACAGCTTTTTGAGAACGGACATGAAGTGGCAGGCAGCACTAATGGGCCGGACGACTGATTTTCGCCAAAACAATCAAGCTGCTTGATGTCTGTGCTTCATAACCCGTTAAAAATATTTCCCGATTCTAATTAACTGCAACAAAAGTGTGAAAAACAGAATTTTCTTCAACCGCCAGTCCGACTGCTTGTAAACAGTGTTCAAACAGTGTTTCAAACGGATTCGTTTGTTATATACCCCTAACCTGGGTACCTTTGTTAACCCAAAGCAGCCCGCACATTTATATCTGTCATATGCAGTATTCAGTTGAATTTTTCATTCAAAACTTCTCCAGAAAATGTGGTGTTATACTGTGATTCCAATCCAGCGACCTTTTATCTTCCCAGCCAATACATAGATTTTTTGTGCCGCTTTTGAAGACTCCTTGGCCGTGACGCATTGTGATGACACAATTGTCTTGTTTTCTCAAGTGAAAGCGCACACCCCAATGACAAGTTAAATTTTTCACTAGTTTTGAGTTGTTGCGCGATCTGCAGAATTCACATTCTCACCACTCTCGTTTGAACAGAGTTCCCCTGGCGCAATTATCCTGATTAGTCAACAAAAAGACTCGTCAGAATAACTTATAGATTTTTGTACACATTTTGTATCACATATTATTCAGTGATATGATTGATGGTAGTATGAAGAGATTTGGGAATTAGCAATTAGGATTTCTTGCTCCCAGTGTTCAACTACTGATCGGAAGGTCGCTTATTTGGAACGCTCTAAGTTTAGTGAGATGCGCGCAGCTGTTGATTATCACTAAGAATAGAACATTTGTACAATGTTTCTCTGCTCTACAGCACAGATTGTTTTTATTGACTCGGCCCCATGCCAACTGAAACGCGACATGACTGCCATACTTTATCCTTGGAGGAGCTGCAACTTAACTGGTTAGATCATGCACCAGTGGTGGAGATGGCATTCAAAACTATGCGAAAAATTGGTCACTCCAAGTGCTAGAGACGTAAACTTCTAGCACAATAGTTCAGTTATCACGGGTGAGATTTTATTTAGAAGGGGAAGGGTCGCCGTAGCGGAAGAGCAGTGCATCAGACTGGGCTCTCACGAACCATATAGACTGTATTGATTGCAACTATCTTGAGGTTGTAAGACTGCTGTATCATTTCCCTTCGTAAATAATTCCGTCAAAATACCATTAATTACTATACTCTTTTGAAATCCGCCTATAGAATTAAAGCTTCGATTTGGTTCAATGTACATCACATCTCAAGGCACCGGCTCATTTCTCAGAGGTTGAGTTGTCCATTGCACTGACAGTATACAACTTGTTTGTGAATCTGTAGACGTGTTCTATCTCGGTTCAACCTATTTCCGAATGGAGCGCCAAAAACGTTTGAGGCAGAGCTGTTAAAAATTAATTTTGTCCCCAGATCTACTATAAATGTTTGTGTTGACCGTATGAACGACCTGACTGAGGTCTTTATCAGATGAGCTCGGACCTTCGGGTAACCGGGTATCCATCAGCAAGTGGTCGACACACACTCATAGGATCAAAAGCGCCCATTCGAATCTCCACTTAATTTCGGGTGGACGTGACCTACCGACTGGTTTCGGCTTGGTAAGCGATCATGAGTGCCGTTTGCGTGTACAAGTTAACACAGATGTGAGAGAGAACTAGACCTATTTATGAGTTCTCCAACCGAACCTCTCGAAGTTAAGTGCGTATCTAACTTTGGCTGGGTGCAGTTAACTGTGCCTTGTCTGCCTTTTAGTCGTTCCGATCGACAGAAAGACTGAAAAGCGAGGCGTTTTATGGTGTGTTGTCGAAATATCACTCAGCCAACTCCAAAGCGCATCCCATTTCCTATCCTCACCCCGGCAATCCAATTAATAGCGGTTGTTTTCTCTGATACTGTGATGAGTGCGCTTAAGGGAGGGTGAGTCACTTTTGTACTGGATGCATTCAGCGAGGCATCAACGCGACCGCCATCAGAAGGAGGAATCAATGGACACAGTGCAAACGAAATCTCGAACGGCGTGGAGTTGTGATTCGATGTTTGTCTGATTCCACAATGCTTCTTGTACTGTGGCCACGGAAGTATAAATAGATTACTGGAATTCTTCACAAGCTGATTCCGTTTGCACAGAATCCATGAAACAGCAGTCCGTGCGCGACAGAAGGGTTACTTCCGGTCAGAATTTTTATTACTGGATCCCATTTCCACAAGATAGAAGGTTGGAGATAAAGTTACCTCTGTAAACAGTAATAAAAATGAGTAATTTGGGCTTCCCATATTGTCTAAACACGGCCAATAGCTACTGGATAGATATAGCAACCGGGTTGTGAAGCTGTTTAGACAGACGTGAAAATGAACCCATAAAATGTGATGGGTTTCATTCAACAACGAACACCGAACGAATTCACCATACAGGACAGCGCCAACACAGTACCAATCGACAGTAAGTTTCACCTGAAACTGAGAAGCATTATCACTGGAGAAATATCGGTCAGGTCGCAGGAATATTCTGCTTCATATCATTTGGATCGCACTACCATGGTAAAAACAGAAGCTGCACATCTCCCCTTTTTGAGAAGGTGATTCAATCTGCACAATGAGGAGAAAAGGTGGGGCAGCGAATAACGATGATATTTTATCGCCATTTACAAGGTAGTAACCATAGAGTTGAAATGCTCGCTGATGCATCGTGCGTTGTACTTTCGCTACAACCCACCAGCCAAGTTCAATGATGAAGGCCTTTGGTCAGGTAACAAATCAACAGAGGTGATGGGCTGCTCATTGTGGCTGTCCTATAAAAGAATTTTTTGTTTACTAAATTCACTTTTGCCCGGCTGTTCGTTCGATTACACGTATTATCATTTGCCTAACTTATTGGCACTCACGTTGGAGAAAACGATGTTCCATAAGCTAACAGCAACGCGTACGTGAACACTCATATTGCAGACTTCATTAACCCCTAGATGAGTGTAGCTTCCAGCCTAAGTCACGCGAAAATATGACAACTAAGTATTATTATTGAATCAACTCATCCCCGAAAGGAAATAAAGGCAATACTACTCGGTTAGTTGTGATTACGTACGCAGCAAAAATTCACAGGGAAACAAAAAAAACATCGACCGGGCTCGCTTGTATAGAGCCGCGCAGTAATGCCCGGATGATTTATCCATCATTGACACACAGATGCTATGACGCGACACACTTTTCCACTGTTTTGACATCGTTACTTGGATGAGAAAAACGACTGTTGGAGGGTGTTATATTTTGAGTAGTGTGGGTAGTTGAAGATTCCTTGTAAAGAAACTTGTCTATTGATCGTTTGAGCTCTTGTGTTCAGTGGCTTTATCATATGATTCAGTGTATCAAAAATTATGGGGCCTTTCCCGTTTGTTTAATATTTTGGCTGCATTTTTACCAAGATAGACTTGGTTTTCGCACCCAAGCATAGGAGGCACGAATTCTCAGGCTTGAATGGGATTTAACTTGGCATACCGGATAGAGAGTGCAAAGTAAGGGTAGCAAAAATCAGCCACCGATAGGACCAACAAGGCATTCTGATAATGCTATCTGTTTCTTTTCATAATTCCAATGCAACGTTTACATTCAAACCACATTAACAGACTATCAGTGACGTAGGATAATGCAAATCCTTGCAAATTCCATTTACGTTTGCCAAACTGAAACTTTGTACAGTTGAAAGGGCATGTTTGTGGTATGATGTCTGTGTTTGTTGCCAACTGTTTGCTGAAAATGAAATGCGTGAACTATCACCATGCTAAGTTCAGTGATGAGCGTTTGAAAGACAGCCTCATCGTTGAAATTTCTAACTTGATTCAATAATTTATTCAGATGGAAGGACCCCCGTCGTTGTTACATCTCATTCACTATGTTAGTTTACGACATTGTTTCTCTGGAGGGTAGCTGACCAGTACACATATTCCGAAGTCAAACTGACAGCCAATTCATTTAGGATGCTTTTTTTGCGGGACAGAACTACGTATACCCAAGGAAACTCGCGTACGGCTCCCGAGTCAAGAAATTCTGGGCCCTTTCAATGGATTTGCTTAACAATCCTATAGCTTACCAATTCCGGTGGTCAATGTAGAGCACAAGCCTCATTAGTCATCCTGGGATGCTCTTCAAAGGTCAAGATCCCAACTTTTGGGAAAGCATCACACTATACCGAAGTGATGCATCAGCCATTCACTTGACTGTATACTACAGTGGTCAGATTGAATGAGCAGAAGAGGTTTTCAGAAATATCGATATATGCATGGAAGATGAACTGCATTTCGTTTCTCCCGTAAGTAGCTGTTACCATTACATATCAGCGATTTTAACTGCGGGCTCCCAGTTATCTACCTATGCTATCTCAGTAGTAGCAAGACAGTAGTGGCAACCCGACTAGTTTTTTTCCAGTAGCACGCAAAACAACCTTATGACCCATTTTTTCCAAAAACGTTACATCCGGCACAGTTTATTGAGAGTTCAGAAAACCTAACGCAAAACTACTTCAAAATTTTACACATTGACGAGCCGGAACATCAAGTTTTGTTGCAAGCTGTGTAAAATGCATTTGACTGAGGCTGTCCCACTAACCATCTCGTCCTCTAAGAGCAAGGTATTTATCCAAGTACTTTGAACGCTGCAAGTACAACCCAATTTTCTACTACGAAACCAATCATATGAAGTGCGGAACTCTTGCACATAGAAATCCGTGGATTGTGACATCCGCGTTGAAAAATAAGGGACATTTATGCGAAGAAAAAAGCCTAATCGGCATCAAATCATGATCCGCTGCTTACCCGGTTCACAGCATTATTTTCTAGTCTAAGATTAGTACTGAGAATAGTGTACATAAACGGGGAACATGACCCTTTCTGTTCTCATGATTGTTAGGCGGCCTGTTGTGAAACTATTCTCGTTTTCGGAATAATGCTTTGATTCTCACAGTTGAATTAACTGCACTGTATTTGTTGTCCCTTCCTGAAATTCTGTGAAAAACCGCTAATGGAACTTGGCCGATACTCGGCCAAAATCGTAGAATACGCAGACACAGCATCCCATTTCTACATTTTTTCGGGCACAGCTGATCTCATACCAGCGGCATACTTAATAAGTGTACAAGTTACCATACATCATTCAATAAAGTGTATATTACGTCTTGCAAGCTGCACTACCATGAATCCTGTCCTGGCTTCGCAGTGAAACGCACAAAAAATTAGCTTGCTTAATCTTATGGATTTTGGTGTGTCCATAAAGTGGTTATTCCGTGCGAAGTAAGCGATACCACACACACTAAGTGTGCCAGCACGTCTACAGACACAAACTAACGAGCTGACACGGCTGTCTAGTGTAGGCACGTAGCCGACCGTCTGTACGCCAGATTGGACTGGATCTCTAGGTAGGTGGCGGTTGACATAAAAAAGACGGGTGCGACAACACAAGCAACGATCAGTAGACGTTTGAAAAACCTCTCGATGGAAAGCCCAACAATAATACGCAATACAATAAAATAGATGTCAGCGCATAGCAGCGTAGTACCATGTGCTAGCCTAGATAAGATTGGCGCATCAGACAGTCCGTCCGTGGGAGTTGCACGGTTCATAATATCACCATTTGCAAACTCTGACTGACCAGTACATGTTCAAACTTGGCGTCGATTAAAATCCCAGGGGGGATGAGGACGGTAAACGGAAAAACAAACAAAGGCATTGATCGCATCCAATAAAACTGGTGTATGTGCTCTGTAGTGTGATAACCGTACATTAGGAAACAACCAGAGGATGTTGAAAGAGGTGGTGCGACGCACGAAGACACGGGACAGATACATGGAGGAGGAGGAGGGTGACGGCCGAGAAAAGTGACGGTACATGAATGCTTTGCAAACTTCCGAACCGAGATCGAATAAAAAAACGGCGATTGATATGTTAATCGTGCAACCAAGATCACAAAACTGTGTAAGCAGGCGGATTGCTTTCGGAGGGCATCAAAGAACGCATAGCATAATGTGCGTGTGTGTGAGACAGAAAGAGAGAGAAGAAACGAAGGGGTATGTGCAATATCTGACGCATGCGTATAGTCCACATCAAAGGCGGTGGACGAATGTGGGAGCCACTCGAGCAGCCTATGCATGTTACTAGTTGGAAAGCAAAAACAACGTCTGTACAGGATAAGCGCCGTGTGGATGTCAAAAACGTTGACTGTCTATTGACGACACGAACGACTATAGCGCGTTCCTCCAATGAAGTGGTTGGTGCCTACAAAAGGTACAGTAGGAAGTGTATCCGAATGGCAAGCCATAAATGAAGCCCCAACTTAAATTTGTATCCATCTGAAGGGTTATCGCTTTATAAGCACAGCGTGTGTCCCGAAATATGACGATCCAATTCAAAATGTCTCGTTATTCGTACAGTCCTCCGTGTTGTGGTTGTCAAATACACCACATATATCGCAATACATTCGCTCAGTTAGTTCGATTTTCTGGAGGGACACGCGTTTCTTCGGGTGCAAAGTGCCATTTTCGACGACTCGAGGACAGTTCTCAGTTTCGTGACTATCAAACACGAGACAGTTATCACACCAAGGACGTGGTGGCCTTGGTAACGGAGCAGCCAGGACCGTTTTTCTGAAAAGACGAAAAAGTATAACTTACTAAACGAATAAGACAATTAGACACATACGAATAATGTTCACAGAAATACATAATAAAACTGGACTATCGAAAACTGAAAGGTTACACTGTGAGACCGGGAAGATGTGAATAAATAAGTGGAATTGGATGCACTGTGTAGCCTGAAGACTGTTCAGTGTTCCAACCATACGATAAATTAAGCTTTCTGAGAATTTAGATGGAGTGATCAAACCGCGAAAATGTTTGCGGATGAAAGATTTTAATACCAGGCTAGTCAAGAGTTTATCCCACTTATGTAACAAAGACAAGATGAGTAGTAATTCAAGGGGCAAACCCATCCTTCTTCAGGATACAGTCTTTGTAAAAAAAACTAGAAAAGACTTCCTTCTAATTAGTGTTTGAGAAATTTAGTTCGTTAAATTTTCCTCATTAGATGAAACCGTTTTTCCTCCTCTAATTCACAATAGGCTGTCCATCTCTCATTCTGAGTAATGAGCTAAGTGGCCAATGAAGAAATCACCACTATATCTCATATGTTAAACCGGCACCCTAAATTATCGGCAATATCTTCCAAAGATGGAAGTACCTTCGGAAAGGGACGGGATACAACAAAACTGGTGCATCATGGAGTTTAGCCGACCCCTTCAACCCAGATAACTGCATACTGAAAAAACGTACACGTCTGCAAGTCTGACCCCCTAACTAGATTATATTGAACACTTACGCGCCGCTGAAGAACACAGCTAGGCAGCAAGAAGTCATGGTAGCCTGCATTAGAGGATCTTAACATATGAAGGTCCAGGTTCGGTGTGTTCGAAATGTCGTTGCTTAAATGTATGAGTTGGTTAGCTTGGTCGGTCTTCAAAAGCCGTTCATTGTAGAGGTATCTGACTGGCGTTCCAGATCACCATGCGTGCGTACCGTGGACATCCACCCTCAGCCGAGTGTGAACATGTTAGTGTGTACATTTCCTGGTGAAAGTGCAGGCCAACGAGTGAAACGGGAAATAGATTTTCCGTTTGATGATATGCTGACTTGATTCCGTTTTAGATTCTTAGGAGATTTGATGACAGTTGTGAATGTGGAGATTGTAGTGACTTTAATACTGACTAATGTTTCAGGGGGATTCTAACCGGCAGAGTACCTGGGGCTCTAGTCCTGAAACCCGGAGCGACATAACCCACAGCAGAGTACTACATAAAACTTTGCCACGTCATCCGTTCACCGTCTTTCTACACCTGGGTCCGGTAAACAATATGGCAGATGCTATGCAAACATATATGAAGCGAACCTTGATCAGCGCAATCGGAGCGGTTGAATACATATCTCTAGGGATCAGTTTGACAAATACGGTAACTTTCGGCGCGCCTCCAATGCGTAAACACGTGGCCATCGACGCGAAACCGTATGTAAACAAAATCCGTCAAAACAGTGGCACTCTTCAGAACACATAAGGCATGAATCAGCAGAGCTTCGCTACTGAGTAAAAGTACTCGATGCGGTGATGCTACCGATCGGTCCTTTCAACGATAGTCACCGCAATAATCGCATAAAGTGGGACAGGACAGGAGCGGGCACTTTTTTCCAATGCATAAACAAACCGCCCTACACCCCACTAGCCAAATGGGACTAGATATGTTGCGTACTGCGAGACTACGAATAACGTAAAAAAAAAAGGCACCGATGTGTTTTCCATGTTATAAATGCTACCTGAACTACAAAGCAATCAACGGGGACGCTAAGGAAAAAAGAGTAGGTCGGTTATTCAGCTATTGGTTGTGTACACTGATTCAACACATCTACTACCTGGTCGAAAACCTGCCTGGGACTCTCGAGATTGCATCCCACGTGAATTCAGACGTCGCACTATTATTGATGTCAACACTGACGTTAGACCTGGGGTGACGTTCACACCCTCATTGCTGAAGTTGTCGCTTCTGGGTGTTTTTAATAAAAGTACAGTGATTTGGTTGGTCAAGGTGGCTAGACCACATTCTCGTTCCCAAACTGGTTTAAACAGTTAAATAACGGAAACATTCAAAGATTCGTCATCGCCACATAACGCTGGCGGCCGATGGAGACAGAGGAAGGGTAACCTGGAAGTAGCTCTACTGTTATCGTGTTCCTGTTGAAGGGGACAGTAAGACACCTTGTGAGACCATTCCCCGCGGTACGCGGACTCGCTATTTTCCTCTGGTTCAGTCCTTCCGGATCTTCTTGGCACGGTCTGACCATCAGCAACCAAGCTTCAGCCAATACAACCGGTATTGAAACCCGTCAGTTGGAAACAGCAAGATAATAATATGGATGACTTATGTACGGCGCAAGTGGAATAAATCGGCAAGCCAGATTGGAAGAGTCACCTACACTGGGGGAGTGTCCAAAACAAGTAACATGGAGCGCACACGTTCTTCCAGTTCTGCATTTTTCTTATGCAGATCGACAATAATTGAATTGAGGAAGGACACCTGAGATTCGGCACTTGTCTTCTCGCCAATAAGTCGTGTCAGCTCATCGTTGGGAACAGAAGCCTCTGAAATACAAAACGAAATGAGATGGTGCGTCGCACGACATCTTCCAGTATGTACCAATTTCATCCAAGCATTTTGTTTGTGAATTTTAAGCGACGAACCTATAGGCATAAATAATTACGATACCGGGGTTTGGCTACATAACCAACCTACACAGGAAATGGTAGTCGAATTCGAATGTGACCCAACTCTCAGGTAGACAATGGACCTCATACCCGTGAGACGACTCAAACGCAGGATCATTAGGCGTATAAAGACCCACCCAGTCAAGCTCAACTGGAGACCTGATTGCTACTGCATTTCATCAAAGTGAAAGAACAGGTTCAAGTAAAGATTACTCGTAAAGATTACGCGTTTCCTCCTTATTGTAAATCGCCAGATAGATGTTGGTTAGATCGGCTGAGCTGGTCGGGATCCGGCTACAGCTTTACCAGTCAACTTCACCGCTTGGTACTAACCGGTGAGGACAGATGAATAGTTAGCTAAACAATTTAAGTGGATGCCCCATCGTTCGAACCTAGTCAACAGTTGGTTAGAGCATCTTGCATCATGCAATTTCAAAAAAATTCAGACATTTCCACTGGTTGGATGGGCGTTGACTTCAGACTTTTCCCCACGCACATACGAGAGAAAACGAATAACTACTTAAAACCCACTTCTGCAGCATACTTCTGTAGTGTCGTTTATGGTCCAACAACGAAATCAGTACACTGCATATACCACCGCACGTTACCCATGCTATAATGTCGTAAATACCTATATATCTGCTACTGGCGGAACTTGATATACGATTTATCGGAGCCTCAGTGTACCAAATTAGAAAATCACTCTTTGCGTTGCAACGATAGAAATGTAGTTTACAAGTTTACGATGGCTGTGCAAGGGGATAGCAACCGTGCTAAGCTAGAAGGTTTGGCGAGCAACTAGTTTGTCTGAAAACCGATTGCCTGCAGGTACGTCCGCGAAATCTTAGTCATGTCAACGTAGATAACACAGACTTTGTTATCAAAATATCTCGAGAAATGTGGATTCAGTTCGAGGTGTCGGATTGCAATAGGCAGAAAAATGGCGTGGGGTGGGCATTTAGAAAATAGTAGTTCAAGCTAAACTTCTGACCGAGGTATAAATGGTTAGCGATGTTTAGATTTGCTCTCGAACAAGTTCAACCTCATTGATATTCAAGTTGTTGTTTTTCGTTATTTCATATTACTTCTACCTTTGGCTGTACTCGCCTTTCAGTTTAATTTACATATCTCCAAAGTTAGGTACCGCATTGTCTGGAAAACTAGGTTTGTTGCACCGAACAAGCCAAATGTGCGGAGACCTGAATAGCTATGGTGTATGCAGACTGTGAACGTGCTTTATCCACGGTGCGCTCCAGACCACGTTCCATGGTGAGATGTAGTTCATAGCTCCTGGTCAGAAGGTTCTTCAACTCCGAGTAATTTTGATCCGGAAAGTCGAAACAAGTCAGCCTCACTGACTCGTCAGAGCAAGTTCGGGTTGCTGTGTTTACAGTGGCCTGAAAGTTGCGGCTGACGAATAAGCAGAGAAGCGGAACATGACATTACCAGTCTATAGGAATCAAACTATTACTAAGAGGCAAAAAGAGCAGACTGACTGACACATTTTTACTGAACTGCTGATAGTGTCAGGAGATTTGGACATTCCCAATCGAGATTTTTGTCCTGTAAGTGGAGCCCATCTATGCTGAAAAGCTGAGAAGCACAGTACGGCTGTTTCACTCTTACTGAGAATCGCCGGGAGCGCGCATCTCACGAGACTCCAGGGAGTTTCAAACCGTGATCTCCTGGCTAGCAGTTTGAGCACTTAACCACTTGGCCACGAGCTGCTGATCAGCAGTGTGATTATCTGGCGCTTAGACAGTATATAGCGCTACTCATCCTTTAGTAAGGGAAACCAAATCACGAGGTCACGTGTTGAATGGCTCCTCGAGTGACGCCTTCTCAGATGGAAGTTTCACTCGTCCAGTGAGATCATTCTTCTTGACAATTCGAAAACTCCATTAAGTACCCAATTATATCTTCAGCAAACGTCACTTCAGCATCCTACTTCTTACACCCGTATTCCGATTGCCATGCTTTCAGTGCTTCGAAAACGTGGTCTATGGATCTGAAATTTAACTCTGCAGACGCGAATGAGCTGCACAACCATACAAAAGTGACATTGCCGTCTAAAAGGGGAACTTTGAACGGGGATCGGCATTATCAACACATATGTGAACCGGTTCTGTCACAATATAGCATATGACAGCGTATCTCAACATGTATTGATTTGGCCTCTCATTCCCTGTAAAATGTAACGGTAAGGGTCGGCTGTGAGGACGATTCATCCTACAGAAGGAGAGACCTCGTTGGAGATGTTCGACTCCATAGATCGTGGATGGAGGAAGCGGGTTCATCCAAGTAGCAGTGAGTACTATGAGCTAGTTTTTAAAATACCACCGATAGGAAAAAAGTCACTCTGTTGAGTTCTGTCAAATGAGCGACTTAGTTAGTAGAGGTGACTGAGACGCCCATGTGGCTGCGCATAAGATAATTATGAAGAGAGGTCAAAGTCGAAGCTCTATTGACGACGCGTGTCAACGAGTATGTTGGAAAGCTCAAGCACAGCTGGTAGACTATAGATAGCTCGTTACATGTAAATGGCGACTTGGCCACGCGCCAAAATTAGCGACAAATGAACACATCGATTGGCTACTTATACATGGCTGTGACAGCAATGTGAATGCGCGCGTTGTGTGTGTGTGTGTGGAAATGAATGTGAAAAGCATAAACACTTGATTGTGCACAACCAAAAAAACCTGCAATGCATGACCAAAACTTTGGAAAGGCCGAATGGAATGTGACACTCAGTTGGCACACACTGGAGTGTGGTTCGAATACTCGCGTAGGTTGAGAATAACAGAGGATTCGTTGAGAAATATGTCATTGAACGGCTGGTCCTGCCCACGCAGTGAATAGATCAGTAGAAAGGATAACGCGGCATATGCGACGTCACTTAACCAAGGGCAAAACAATAAACTTTGAGAGTGGGATACAGCTACTCACCAGATCCTGCAAAACCCGCTGAATTAGATTCAATCGTTTGTATTCTGTCTAGTAGTTGCCGTCTTTCTGTTTCCATCATGGCCATAGCCTGTTCGTGGGATTGTTTCAGTTGCGAATGCTGTAGCCAATTGGAGGGAAATCAAGAGACCCATAATTGAGTCGTTGTGTGTACCGGTTCAATCAGGAAGCGGATACAACAGTAACCATAAAAGAGAGGGAAATAATCAAAGTAGTAACCGCCAAAGGGACGACAAAGCGCAGAGTTACAGACGCGAAGGTGGGTAAACGCATTCGGAGAGCTATGTGTAGGGAAAGCCATTGATGATAAAAACAATGATTCTGGGTTGATAGGTCCCTCCACCATCAACAGCAGAGAGATGCTGCACTGCATGATAAGCCAACGGGTCTATTATACTGATATTATCGTTCTAAGGGAGGCAATTGCCACTCAACCAAGTTTGGAACGACATACCGTTTTCCGTCAGATGGGTGCAACTATAGTGCCTGAAACAATCCATTTACGCAACGATTTATGCGTGAATTCCGGCAACGGTAAATGCACTTGTTCCGTGGCTTGCTGGGAGTTATTGCATAGTAAAGGGGTGGAATTCAAAAAGTCCCACTCGAGTTGCCTTTCCGGAAAGACTTTCACTTATCGGCCGAAAGGCCGGACAATATACTTCGCAATACACAATAGCTGTTCGTAAATTGCCAACAAACAACCTCCTAATTGTTTTCCCCGAAAATTCGGATTCCATACATCCTTCGTAATACCAGCTAATGCTGATTTCATACGTTGTAAATACGCCCCCGAATGCAAACTTTACAGGAGCTATGAAGTCATTTCCCACCTACTTAAGTAGAAAGATAGTGACATCCAGTGAACCGCTTCACGAAGCCTAAAGGACATACTCTCATGTGCTTTTGTTCGTAAAACTGAGCAGATTTTGACCGTCCATGCAATACTGACCGGGACCAAAATGACTGTGGTGAACTTGCCTAATGGCTCCTATCCTCGAAACAATACGCAAGAATGGGGTAGCTTCAACCTACCAGTAACATGACTCCTCTTCTGTCTGTTGGCTTGTTGCAGTTCTGTCTATAGATGAAATGTGGGAACTTGTCCGAAGCGCAAGCAAGAGATGTGAAGAACCTGAATAACCCTCTCCTCCATGTGGGGAGGGGGTTGAGTACTTTTTAGGGGGCGTTCCTGGAGGTTTTCACTTATTAGGGACATCATACATTAGAAATATCTCGATCGGGGACAGCCATTTCTTCCAGATGGTGAAGGGTTATAAATCGATAGGGACCACTGTATTTTTAACGAAGTCGCACTTTGCGACCAACAGATAAGTGCGTATCACAGTAAATAGGAATGAATTATAAGCTGGAAGAATGTGTAACAGGCCATCAGTCACTGCGTAAAAGTACAGTCCAGCGAAGACAAACGAACCTGAGACAAGAAAACAGCTACTGATCGGAGTCCTGTAAAGTTTTCGGTCATCTGACTGCATCACACTCACTACCGGTTGAGCCAGCAGTTCACTTGAAGATTATCACAGTACAAATAAATGTTCCATTCCGCTATCTGTATCAAAATGGACTGACCCTTCAGCGGCTACCATAAAGGATGTATTTACCGGCAATCCGTACAATAACATGAACTAGGACGGTTTGCCACGCAAGGCTACATAAACCCTAAATGATCAGCCCTCTGAATTTCACATGGTTAGATCTGACCTCAACGGAGAGAGCAACAGATACAAAACAATCGGTAGAAAAGCGCAAGAATAACATTCCATTTGCCAGCTCGCGCTCGCAAAAGAAAACAATATGGGTAGGTTCTTGCGTGATTTGTATCAGCGATGCATATGATTTAAGGAGTAATATCCTATGACTGGAGTGTGAAGAGGACCTCAGCATGACGAAACTAAACGCAACCTGATTACACCCTGTGTAAAGTTAAGAGTAAAGGGTTCAGATTTTGAAACTCAAAGCCACAGAAGATAATCCAGTAGCTCCGTTATTCTATTCAGTTGTGTAAAGTACTCCATCCGATGAGTTAACGCCATTGGGATCGGTCCAGAACACGTTCCGTTTCAAATGGTTCTATTTTCAAACGCAAGACTTCCCATAAACAGAGTTTGGTGTTTCTCCGCGCAGCCTAGATACACATAGAACGGCGAGACTAAAGGAGTATTTACAGGTTGCGCCACTAATTTACTCATGGAGCACAAGTAAACGTGAAACAGGTTAACGTCAGTGAAACTAATCACTCTGATTAGTCGATATGACGATAAACAAAGAAGTACAATATTCAAAAATACAAAGTGTTTCAGCGTATGAATAATAGTTTCCCAAAGAATAATCTAGTTTCCCCACGTATTCTGCACAGTTCAGTAAGTCATTTGGCATCTAGTCATGGAACATCTTGAAATTTATCGAAACCCGTCTACAGTCAGGTGCCTAGCTCGTATGCCACCCGAAAGGGGGCGTATGTATCAGGCCACAGCATAGGTTGTTTTGTTGGGTTGTGAAAATTGGCCTCTGCCAGCAGTCGAAGTGAGACGTCTTCAGGTGTTCGACAACCGTTGTCTCCGAACCATAGCGAATCCCCATCGAGGCAATTAGAAAGTGAGTGTACGCTTGTGCAACGGAGATCTCGATCGCAGAATGTATTCAACACCAAAAGCGTGGTGGTGTGGTCATGTGTTGCGTTTTCCAAACAGTGCTGCTCTCCGCGCTTAATTCTGAGTGGCGCAACCAGACCCGGCAGAAGAATATGAAAGCAACTACGAAAAGTCTGGATACTGTCAGTACGACCTGCCTTCCAAGAGGGGTTCGGGGTGATCCCCACTGCGCCTAGTTAGATTCACTGAAAGATATGGCTCCTACTCAATGTCAATTTCGTTCTTGTTGTCATTTTCTACCCACAAGGTGTGGAGGTGCATACAACTGAGGTAGACTGTGTTGTCCCTTTACCAGTCATCTTTATTCTTTTTTAACAAAAAAGTTATGATTGTGCGCAGCAAAGCATCAATGCTGAAGCCTGCCGTCGTACTGACGACCGTGTGTTATCTCGAGTTCCCCGTGCGTGAGGAGTATCATTAGGATGCGTGTTTTGTCCTATTTCCGGGATAACGAGTACCGAATAGCGAAGCTAAAATCTGAGGTCAATTCCAATGAAAATTCCGAAATGGAGAGAAAGATGAAGTACAGAACCAGTAGGAGGATTTGTTATCATAGGCAAAGTGAAACGTTAGGCTAACCCTGACTTCCACTGTGTGGCAACGTAGAACGCCTGTAGGTATATGTGTATAAACAGAAGAGGTTGTCAACACAGCAGCAGCCTTCAAGAGAAGCCATTGACCGTGACATAAATGACGGGAGAGAAAAAAACAAAGGAATACAGGATATCGAGCACAAACCTCATTTAAGGTGTGATCCAATTGTTTTTGGACGGCTTGCAATTCAGCGGACTTCCCTTCCAAGCGATGAAGCGCAGCTTCTGCGTTTGCCTCAAGCTGTGCCATTCTGTGGACAAGCGAGGGCGGAAACAATAATGGAGAATTAGTCGAATGAGAATAAACTTACCAGTCTACCAGGACATGGTACGCATTCATTGAAAATACGAAAAAAACTAGAATGAACACATTGCAAACCCGTCCGTGATTGCAATCGCAGTGGGTAAAGGCAATAAAAGTTTAGTGGTGAACCAGTGAGTTTGCCAGAAAACAGTGAAGGCATTATAGTTAGTTGTGGTTCAACAGATGAAAGACGGGTTTTCCCTGGGGACGCGTGAATCCATCTCAAGCTGAGTTTTAGTGGAGACGGATTTCGGTATCGGATGAAGAATAAGGAAGGGACTTTATCCCACGGCTCGTAATCTACAATACGATCAGACAGATATGCACGCTAAATACCGCTTCCTCCTCCCTGAAATACAATCAAATTTATGCTAGGATTTGTTGAATTTCAGATAAGATAGGAGTACAGTGACATCTACAACATGCATCTCTATTCTCGACGCGCCAAAGAGCATCACTGGTAGGGAAGAATATTCAGTAATTATGACTATGTGTTGCACACAAATGAGCTACCACAGTTTGTGGTGCTGCAACTAAATCTAAATCAAGTAATCAGCTGTTCCGTGAATTGGCATAGATTCACCGCCCGCAAAGAACAGATTTCGTAACCTTGTAATGGCGCAAAGAGCACCGTAATTGGAAGACGCAACTCTTGAGAAACCTGAAGGATAACAAGTCTGCTTACTTGGTTTTGGCAGCTTCCAACTGTTCAGTAACTGTGGCAATATCCGGCTCATTCTGTAAAGTTCGATAAATAAAAAATACATACGTCATATCAGACACTGTGAATATTTTCTGTAGGGGAGCGGGTTGTAATCCAGTCAACATGACCAGAATAACAACAAGTAAATTCCCCAAAATATCACTATTTTTCAACGGACATTCACACAGGAAAGTGAGTGAAGCCCTGTCAGAAACACTGACTCAGTCTGATCAGTTCAGAGCCTACAGGTCCGCCCGTCAGAGGCCGACAACAGCTAATTAACGATAGAAAACGTATCTCGCAAAAAGAAATCGAGACATGATATCTGAAACGTGAGGGAGGACAAAAAGTAATCGTCCGTGTCACCACTGTCCTGATGTACATATCGCTGATGGCGAATAGAGAAATACTACACGAAATTAAGGTCGAATTCACTCGTCCAGAATAACGAGAATAACCATAAAAAGACAATCACTGATCTGACCAAGTCATGGAACGCACCTCCCGGACTGATGAAGAGATTTTGAGTAAGGTTAGTTCTCGTTCTAGCTCAGCACGTTCGGATTCAAGAACTTGGACACGAGACATTAGCTGATCGCGACTGGCTTCAGCATCCGCACTGAGGGAAGAAGAGACAAATAAGTACTCTTGGGTTAGAAAATTTAGTCAGAAATTTATTCATTTGTTAGAAGTATGTGCAATTGCTTTTCCGGACTGATTGATTACGAGACAATTCTGTTACAGTTGCAGTTAGCAAAGGAACCAGAGGAGACAATATTTCAAGAGGGGTGGTCGGGATAACCGAAAGCGATGGAAAACATGTGTCGAAGAATCAGATATTATATCCTCTCTCGGTTGAAGATGCGCAGTACAATCGATTTCTGTCAAATCCAGCTGTGCACGGAACAACCGCAGAGACAGCCAATTTAGATCGATATTCAGTAAGCTGAGTCCAACTAGGAATAAGGCGCACACCAGTCAGATTTGCTTCTCAAACCTCCTACACGGTGAGCAACAGTGGCACAAGAACGGATGAATAGGACTGAAGTAATAAATCAAGGGAAATAGAACACAAACCCCGGAGTACGAGCCTAAGTCAACCGTGA